AGCAGCAGCAGTCGTCGTCATCGTCGTCGTAGTAGCATAGTTGTACTACTACTACTACTACGACGACGACGACGACTACTACTACTACTACTACTACTACGACGACGACGACGACTACTACTCCTGCTGCTGCTGCTGCTGCTGCTGCTTGTTGTCGTTTTTGTTGTTGTTGTTGTTTTGTTGTTGTTGTGGTTGTGGTTGTTGTTGTGGTTGCGGTTGTTGGCGTCGTCGTCGTTGTTGTTGCTGGTGCTGGTGTTGTCGTTGTTTTTGGTTTTGTTGTTGTCGTTGTCGTCGTGGTTAGTGTGGTTGTTATAGTAAGTTATTATAGTCGAAGTGATGCTGTCTACTTGTTCTTGATGGTTGATCGATCGCATGCAGTCAGCTTCTTGGAACTGTGAGCTCTATACTCCATACCCAGCCAGATAAACATTGCACACATTTTTGCGGACGAAGACGTACAGAAGCAGCTGAAGATGCAGTTTTGCGTGGAATTCCTGACACTGATTGCTATGCTGGCTATACCGACATGTTATGAAGTCTGAAGTCTTAAGTGGCTACTCAAGCCCCCCAGAGAAGCCACGCGTCGGCAGAATCACCGTTCAAACAGAGGAAGTGTTTCGGCCCTGACGAAGCATGGACAACTCATGCATAATACGTAGGGCCTAGGGTTTGTCAGGCACGAACGCCCACTGCCAAAACAGTTGTTACGGGAACCTGAGATGCGGGTTTGTGGTGTGCTGATACCGAAACGGATAGATTTTTGATATATCTGTTCGACCCAATAATTGCAAATTGGGCACCGGGCCCTTGTGGAAGATTATACTACCAGCAACGGAACCGCTACACTCTCAAGGACAACTCGCTGCCAAAAGCTTGGGGCAGTGAGCAGTGGGAGGGTTTAATCACAGACGTTCCTCGACTTCGCCACTTTCGCTGCATCTACAGGTCATCCGTCATTTGACAGGGGCACAGAAACGATGGACAAACGATCCGAAAAAGCGAGAACGTAGTGGAGCGGCAACCGCAGACCCGGAGACCTTCTAACGGGAGTGCAAAGTCGAGTGTAATGGCTTGTTGAAAGGATGTCAGGCATTTATTCTTGGTGAGTCATGAAGGCAAACCTGGAAAACACACCAAAGGTTAAGGTAATGCGGTCAGCTTGTGTCATGTACTGCAGTTCACTGTAGGGAACGATGGAGTCCCAACCCTCGATTCTTACACATACGGATGAGAGACACCGTCAAGCGTTTGTACGAAGCTGGGCTGGTACATATTGTTACGGAGCGAGACTTCTGCCGCAAACTCCCTCCCGCATGAAGGACGGCACGGCTCTGTGTGCTTGTGGTCACTTGAGGCAGCTCTTGAAGGTGATAATGAGCCCTTTACGTTCAGAAGATCTGGAGGTAAAACCAGTGTACTGCACCCTGCTGCGAAGGATTGGCAGGCGAAGCTCTCGCAGGCCGCGGCAGCAACCCAGCGCGCAGACAGGGCGAGGACGGTCTTCAATCGTCTGGTTTGGTCTATAGTAGTCTGGTGAAACGCTGTGAAGGCTGTGCTCGAGGGGTTTGTTTGAGAAGGCGACGTTTTGAGCGTCGCTCGGTTCCGTGGTTTCGGGAGTTAGGAGGCTAAGGGTAGCAGTCGAGCCCCTTGTAAAAAAGGGAGGCTGAGGATCCTGGAGAGTTGCTTGCTTTCTGAGCTTCGCATCCCCATGAAATCTGTTCTGTGTCTCGGAGACAGCATTTGCCTACAGTGACCGTCGAGTCTCACACTATGGGAAGCGGTGGGGATTTCATATCGCCTCGGGGTCCGTCCTGTTTGTGAAGAGGGAGGGATTCATGAACCCCCTATCTGTGACACCAGGAGTGAGCTCACGAGGATGAGGGAGGCGTACTTGCGGGAGGCCGGGGAGTGCGTATTGCTATGCTTGTTTTCGGACGGGCTCTTTGTCTTAGTGTATCTCACAAGTCTGGCAAGCAGCTACTATAGTAAGACTTGGTAAAGCCACTGGCTTGCTTGTTGTGAAGTCCAGAATCCAAGCTCTTTCAACCAGTCGCGAGATCAGCGTCAGACTCTACCTTCGTGAGTATTCACAGAAAGACTAGTTTCGCGACTCGCACTAGAAGTTGCAGTGCATGGACTGCAGCAGCTGATCGCAGAATGAGCTATGAAGAGACACATCAAGAAGCGGCCGAAATCATGCTAGCCCAGAGAAGAACAGGTAGCCGGCCTTCGACAGCAGCTTGTTCGGAAGGAGCAGGCAGAGGCGGACCTTGAATGCTGGCCTTTGCTCCAGTGCGATTCTAGAGTCTCTTGCTAGCCTGTTTGGGGAGTTGTTGTTCCCGCCATGAGCCCGTTTAACGGCCATCCAAGTGTATAGAATTGGGCCAGTCCCACAGCCGACGCAGCCCCTGGCCATGCAGGAGAGAGGTGCTGAGTTTGTGCCTGATATCATCTCGCATTTCTCAGTCCACGAGAGCCTCAGTCAGGCCGGGTATGTTTTCTCCGGAAACTGGGGGGTCTTTGCAGGAACCAGCTCCATTCCGAGAGCTGAAAGACTTTGCAGGTGAAATTCGATGCAGGTCCTCACGGTTGTCAACGGAGCACGAAGCTAGCTGCTAGTTTGCCCGTCTAAAGATGATAGCCGTGCATTGGACTGAGCACGTTTTGCTGAGCCGCATCCGCATCTGAAGAGGAAGTGGAAGATCGTCTGGAGGAGCAGAGAAAGCGAATGGAGGACCTTACACCACCCCGCCTTTGCCATTGAGTTCTGTTCAATCGATCGATACGTTCCCGAAAGCGTCCCAGCAGACTGTTCAGAGCCCTCCCGTCCCTTCAGGAGCAGCATCAGTCTGAGCTGGAGAGGCTTATGAAGGAGAATTTGGAGTTGCTCCACAAGTTCAAGAACAAAGCCATGCAGGCGTCGCGTGATGTAGGACTGCAGGAAGAAGAAGACCCCCCCCCCCCCATGTTTCACTCATCAGGATTCCAGCATTGGGTATTCAGGACGAGGGGTGTCTGAATCAGGTGTACAACTTGATGGATGCTTGTTCCTTCGATGTCGTAGGGATAGGTCTCAATTAATAGAGCCACTTCGGAAACATGGCTTGTCCCTCAGGTGAGAGTTTGCCGTTTTGCAGAATGTGGCAACCCCAATACAGCCCAGCTCGCAACATCAATATGGTGACAATTCCACCCCCCACCCAACCGAAATCCAGTGAGCCTTGCGAGTCCCAAGGCCTGAGCCTTACTGTAAGACTGGTGCCGAGTCTAGTGAGCCCTTTAACAGGCCAGCCTCCAAGGAAATCTACTGGCGCAAAAGAAGGAGGCACATGGTCGGGCCGTTTGTCGGGCGTCCTTCAGGGAGTTTGGGACGGAGTTTCTTCAACATGTCGCGAGGGAGAAGCCTCGTGTTTAAGGGCACCTGACCGGACCTGACCTTTAGCCCTTGCCTTCAAGATTCTGTCAGCACGGCTTTCGTGTGTTGGGAGGAAAGTACTTGTTACAGTCAGGATTCCGAGGTCAAAGAAGACTTGGTGAGTGAGTTCTGCAGTAGCGTGTCTAAGTGCTTTAGCAAGCCCTTACATTGCTGGAAGGCCCCCAAAGGCACCTGGCATACCGGTTACCGATTCAGGCAAAGTTGCTTTAAGAGCTTGCGTGTTCCCCTTAGCATGCAGACCTTTATAAAACAGTGACCGGGCAACTCGGCTCAGGGGCATCTGCGAGAGAATTTCGTTGCCACAGAATCTCCAGCACCCCTTCTTCACATAGGTAGCGGCCGAGTGCGTGCCAAGTTTCGCCTACTAAGCTGGTGTTGACTTGACCGGATTCCAATCCTGTACCGGCTACGCCAGGCACCGGAGCAGTTTAACGCTGCGACGCAGATGCCGACGGACAAATCTTCCAGCTCGGGTCATGCGTGTTTGGACGGGTCAGCACGGGTACACGAATTAGCACGAGTCCAGTGCCAGTACATCTCCGAAAAACCCTGCACCATGCCGCACTTACATTCGTGTCTGGATTGGTTCGGTGGAGATTATGTGACAAGGCCGTGGCGTTCGGCATCGCAGCACTGCGGGTTCTATGTCTCTCGTGCACTGTTCGCGCACTTCGGGGCCTATGTGTCATAGGACTAAGGAGTTAAAACAGTTAAAACAATGGAGCTGAAGTGGTAGTCCTGGACAGCAGGAAGTTTTGCAGGGAACCCTGCGAAGGTTGGTTGCATCGAAGACTGCTGCAGCTGCTACCCTGTATTTCTCATCCCTCGTTCCTTTCGGAGCTCTGCCTTAGCCTTAAGGCAGACCAGCAAACATATTTTCAGGCCGGGCAGGAATCACTTGCAAAATCACACCTGCTTGTTCCTCCCTCGCAAAGCAGCAGCCGACACTGCCAGTCACAAAGGGCCTATGAACGTACCCAGACACGTCATTGTACCCATCATTGCCACAGCGCTAGCTCCAGAAGCAAGCAGGGTAGAAGAAGTGACGTTGTTCCAGGAGAAGCACGAGAACAAGGCAACAGAGACTGCGACTGGACTGAAGACCAGTTTTGACACGCCTCACACCCCGTCATTGTATTTGGTCCAAGCATTGTCGGCTTGGGCTTCGGACTGCAGGCCGTTTGATTGTAAGCACCGCAGACTTGAAGCTTTGCTGTGGGCCCCTCCTTTGGTTCCCGACCATAACTCTTGGCTGGATGCAAAGCAGGCCGTTTGCCCAAGAGCCTTCCTTTCTGAAGCCCTCTGACAGCTGCTTTGTCGAGGAGGGTGTGTCTCCGAAGACCTCTGATGCACCTGACGCTCAGAGGTTTCCGTGCAGCACGCCAGCATCGAAGTCCAAACTTCGGACGATGCGCATGGAGCCAGCATCGCAGCCAACATGCCAAGTGAGGCAGGGTTCCGAGAACTAACTAGGTCAAGGTGTTCGTTTGCTATTCACTTCTGTCTGCAAAACTTGCAGCTGTCTTTTTGTGTGCTTGGAATCTGCTTGCACGCGTGGCGACAGTCGATGCATGCAAGGTGTGGCAATGCGAAGCAGCTATAGCACTCTAACGGGTGATCTTCCTTGTATATGAACATCTTAATTAGTCCAGTTTGTGTGGCAACACGACGGATGCCGAGTGCGTCTTCCGAATGAAAAGGACATGAATGCACATCTATACTTACATACCTACATACATACATACATACATACATACGTACATATATATATATGGACAAATGGGATAAGTCTTAAGGGGGGTGTGAGGGTGTAGTTGAGCATATATATATATGCATATCAATAGATGTCTATGGCAGACAAAGACTTTCAGCCTCAAAGTTGACATGGTGCTCTTGTTTGAGTCGCTGTTTGTACATACTTCATGGCTTGCGATCAATTTACCAGGTTCTGTTGGGAGCTCACTGCTCTCTCCAGAAAACATGTACAGATGTATAGTTGTACATGTATGCATATGTATGTCTGTATAGCTTTTTTATATACCTAAGGCGGACAAAACGAAAGACTACACAGACATTCTCACAAACAACCATCAGAACGGGCGTGCGACCCTGCGCTCGGGTCTCTGGCCTCCTATAAGCTTGATGAGACTTAAAAGACAGACATTCAAGCAGACAGAGAGACAGACGGTTTGGCAGTGACTGGGGATTGACACAGTTCAGCTCAGCCAGAAACTACACCCAGGTTGGGCCGTGATATGCCAGACTCACGGGTACACGCACGCGCACAAGGGTCGCTGCCTACCGGTATAAGGCCACAAAGCCTGTAAGAAGAAGATGAAGACGAATCAGAAAACGATGAAGGGCTAGACAAAGGGATGAGCAACCGAAGTCACAATTAAGCCTGTCTTGTGCACTCACGCGTACAGGTCTTGTTGTGTCTAGTTAGGATGAGTACTGGTCGGAAGCGGGTCCAGCATGAATGCGTCGCACTGCAAAAACTCATGTGCATGTGCACCTATGCATTATGCTGTCTTGCTGTTCCCTTGCCAGGCGTTTTCATCTCTCTTCCAGTCACTTTTCATTTCCGTTCCGTGTATGTGTATCTGTGTTGTGTATCTACGTTGAAGAGTGTGGTTGTTAGTCCATAGTGCATGTGCCCATGGTTTTGTTCTAGCTACATCTGTTTCCTGATATGCTTCCCCCCCAAACAAATAATTAAATAAATGGCGGCCGGAGGCTTCACTTGTTTTCAACAGTCCTACCTTGTGCATCGGCAGCCTGAAGGCAGGTTTAAGGGGTGATTCCCTGGTGCCATGTGAGGATGCCGACATTGAGGTGGATGAATTGGACTGCCTGGATCTCGACGTTCTGGTCACTACTGTGGAGATCCCGGAGGCACGCCGGCCCCTGGTTCAAGGTCAAGGCTGTGGGTGGCTCCGGTATAAGGAATCTGGTTTCATCACGGCCAAGCATGATTGCAGCGGAAACGAGTGAAGTGTTGGCACAAGGGCACGGGAACAGGAGAGGACCGAAGCCGAGACAGTTTGCAGTTTGGGCTGCCGATTCCTCCCATATGACAGCGCGGGGTTCCCAAACAATAGAACAGTACCACTTACCACGGTGACCACAGCGATTCCGTGAGACACCAAGGGTTCTGTGTTTCTTGCTCCGACTACATAGGAAACCTTCTCCTAATACAAGATTGAATTCCGGGAGCGGTACAAGAAGGGTTTTTTGGGAGACCCTAGGATCCTTCAAGGCTAAAGGGCTGGGACCTATGATTTTATCGAAGTCTCTCTCTCTCTCTCTCGCAGAGTCTGCTTTTAGGGATTATCCCATCATCCGAGTCCGTACGATGCGATTGCAAGACCGAGTGTGTACTGGGACGTGCGAGTTGAGTTGACTGCAAGAACTGCAGCCAGCAGGGCGGGCCCCCGGAACGTAGGGCTGCAGGCACTGCCCGAGAAGTGCAGGCTGCAGCAACCGCATGAACGTGCGGCGGCCTGCCCAAGGAAGGGTATAGAATAAAGCACCGAGAAATGGGAAGATAATAAAACACTTTGTTAGCACCCCAAGTGTGTGCCACACGGTAAAAAGTACGGAAATGCACGGATCTAAGCTCGGAAGAACGCTGGGGCCACTTCTGAAAAGCAATCTCTCGGACATGATGCAGGACAGGCGTGCCAACTCCCGGAGGAGGAGCTCCAAGGCAGGAGTTTTTACGAGCAAACATGACGTGGTCACTTTTTAGATGTGATTGTTCTCTTCGTTCCCACCGAAAAGTCTTCTTGCGAGTTCTGACGGAGTAAGATCTAACTGGTTTACCACATTGCTGTATCAAGTTGGGGTCCGTGTGTTGAGCAATGAGCCAAGTGCTTGGCCTGGCATGTCCTGTTTCTTTCACGGGGCAGACCCGTGGCAACAACTAGAAGAAAGGTTCCTTGGCCAATACAGGCCTTTGGTTCAGATGTTTCGGGCGCTTGTGGAATCCGCCTCCAAGTTTCCAACATCTTGACCTGGCAGTCGCCCAGTCTGCCTTGTCTTCACATCTATGGCGTATACTACGAGGCATGGCCATCTGACCAATATTGATATCATGCCTAGTTGGCCACCACTCTCAATGCCAGAAACAGCGATTCTACTCGGCGCCATGTGATTCCGAGGCGCGTGCCAGATCGGGATCCGTGGCCACCAACGACAGCGAGGCAATCCGGCATGTTTGGCAATGGCTACTGAGCTGGCTTAGGATGTTTCAGGGTTCGGATACCGTGAGACGGGACGACAGCTGTAAGCAGTGCAACATGCCCACACAGGATGTCAAAGTAGCATGGAATTAGGAGATACATGATGTTTGGTCGTTCCACAACCTGGTCCAAGTGCCAAAATCCACAAGCTTGCGGCCCAGATTTGTGCCCTCAACCCAAATCTCACTGCTCGAAGCTAAGGCAGTTGGGGAACAAAAAGCTTTCCTTGGATCCCATGGGTGTTTGCTGCTCCTAGCTGAAGCATAAGCTAAGCTGCACACGCCAGTTTCAGGGGCACAACCCATCGATAACCTTGATCTTTAATAAGCGACCAGAAGTATAAGTGCCCCGCCCCCCAACACAGGTGATGGGCAAGCGCACATCGCAAGGACGATCGCGGACGGCCTCGAGGGAGTTCTCAGGCCCGTCTGTGGCGTGGATATATTCTTAAGGCTTACAAGGGCTGCCCTCACCAACTGGTAGAGTTCTCATGGCCATGATGTTTCGAAGGATGTAAAGGAAGGATTCTGCGGCCTCAGTTTGGTTAAGTCCCTCAGGCCTACGCTGTTGCGAACATGGAACAGCCTACATGAGCAAGGGACCCTCTGGGTTTTCGCGAGAAAGCTTTGTCCTTCCATGTGAGGTTTCCCCCCGCCAAATCCGAAACCCTGCCATAAAGCTCAAAGTCTGGCATTGCCTACCGGAGCTTCGACGTCCTTTTGCTTTGCCTAGCATCCACCACCTTCAGCTGTGGGTCAATAGCCGGGATGAGTTGCCTCAGCACAGCGCCGGAAGCCTTCCCGGGCATTCCCCGGACATGTTACCGTTGCACTCTTTCGTGTAACCTGTTCCATCGACAGTCGACACCCCCCCACGGACATGAATCTCGAAATGTTAGCATGATCAGGAAGAACATAATGAATCGCCAAGTTTCTTCGGCATACCTGTTCGCCGCCCTACAGGGACGTTCGTGCGTCATGCTTTGCCTGTTTTTCGGGGACGACTTGCGCTTCAGCGCTTCCTAGGTTGCGCAGATACCTTATCCGTCGACCGTCAGACGTCCGGTCGCACAGGTGGCAAGCCACGACCGAGGAAGCGCTCACCCGACAGAGAAGCTTGGAAGAGCAATTAGCTTGCCCAGGCGCTAGATGCACGGCTTCCAAGGCCCTTGGGGGAGAAGCCGCCGCAACATCAGGGGAGCACATGGGTCTTCGCCAAGCTTTTCTTCAACAGGCATCCGCGAGCGGAAGCCTCCTGACCCGCGTAAATCTTGGTGGCCTTGTGGCGGTCTAGGTTATACTTGTTTACAGTCATTGATGGCTCGCAACCAGAATCACCGAGGACACTTCCGTTTCCGATCTGGAGAGCAATGCCAGCAGCGTGGGCCCAGACACATGGCTTGTCAGAGTCCTTCTCAACGGCAACGTTGGAAGTTGGAAGTATGTCAACATCTCTTTCTCAGACACACACACACACACGCACACACAGACACACATAAAGCGAAAAACGAAGTAAGTGAACAGAGAAAGGAAGGAGAAAAGAGCAAAGCTGCAAAGATATTTTTATGTATGCATATACATGCATGCATGCATGCATGCATGCATGCATGCATGCATGCCTTCATGCATTGGGCTACATCAATCTGCAAGCATAGATGCACAAAGACAACGAGATCCCTAAGCCAATGGAGGGCCGCATACTGTGTCTACACAGCATCAACAGATGCTAGCCGGTAGTACCGCTTTGTTCGAGCTTCCGACTTGCTGGCATTGCTGTAGCCCAGATGGAAAAGGGTTCAGAAGTTGTCAACCGAATAATACTTAGATCTTATAACCTACCTGGCCCAGGACCTGAGTCATCCAGCTTCGAAGCGGACGGTCAACGTTGTGAACACCTCCGAGTGTGCGATACAGACAGCCTTGGTGGCGTGGATGAAAGTCACTGGACCCTTCGGGTTTGATCATTTCTGCAGCTGCATTTCTTGGGATCCCCTAGCTGCTCCCGGAAATTCCCGGAATCAGACTTCCACAGGATCTCTGCTGTAGCATCCTTTGGTCTCCAGGTTTGTTGTTCCTGCTGCAATCAAATCTGGATGTGCGCGTGTGCGAACTGTAGCGTTAATGGTTCACCTGATTTGTGTCGTGCATATGTGCGGGCGGCGAGCGCGCACACACGCACGCACGATGCGCAAACACACACAGAGATGGACAGACCCACACTCTCACTCACTCTGGCTTTCACAGAGCTCACTCACACACTTAAGGGAGTTGTGACAAATCCTCCCTCCCCCTCGTCCCTCGCCCGTTCCCCTGCTCAGGAATAGGAATAAGCGAGGGGTCCGGAATAATAGACTCCGCTCAATTCGGCTGGTTGGAACGTGGGAGCTCGGAGGTGTGGGGTGCGGCCAGCGTAGCTAATTGCGATCTAATTGAGGTAGAGACGCGTCATACAGTCCCAGGCATACCCAGGAAAAGGCCGGGTGCGGAATTAGTATTGAAAGTTTATGATTACGACTGTTCGGCATCCCGGGACTTGCAGCAGGCTTTCAGTCTTCGGAGGGTGAGCGGCCAGACGGGCCCAATGAGAGATGTTTGATCCAGCCACATATGTTCATCGAAGGGGCACATTACTTGCTGGCCTGCTGGCGCATTTGCTGGCCTACTTGCTTGTTGTCAACTCTGGCTCGCTTTATGTTGGCTCATTCTTGTGGATATAGATATGTAGTTAGATTAGACTCGGTTGATAGATAGGTAGATAAACTAGATAATGGTAGAAAGGCAGACGGGTAAATAGACAGACAGATGGATAGGTCGATAGATAGGTAGATAGAACGATACTTAGGTAGGTAGGTAGGTAGGTAGGTAGGTAGGTAGGTAGACTGGGAGATCGACAGATCGGGAGGTAGGCAGAAAGAAGGATAGACAGATACTTGTAGATGGGTGGATAGATCGTTTCGACTAGATGAGATTAGATAGGTATGCAAGTTGGTAGGCAGGCAGGTGGATAGATAGGTAGATAGATCGATTGATTGATTGATGCAGGCAAGACAAAGCAAGTACACGAACGCCGTTGAACACATGCTCGCGATTTTTGCATCATCAAGATCGCTTCCATTCAGTCTTAGATTTAGAGACGTTGAGCGCTTTGGCTCTGAGGATGCAGTCGTGCTTCGAGCAGTCGAGGATGGGCGCTCTGGCAAGCCGGAAAGCCCAGCACCTTGACTCTTTTTTTCTTTTCTGCCTTGCACTTGGGTGCACGGGACGCGGCGCTCGACTTGCAACAGTTACCTGCAGTAGGATATTTTTGGAAAGAAGGTTGCAAAACAGTTTCAAGGTGCGGTGTTTGGGTGAGCCGATGCTAAGGCTTCTGTGGAGGCCTGTATGCGCTGGAATTTCATGCCTTCCTTCTGCTAGTCAAGGTGGTTTAACCCGCAAAAAATGTCTATGCTTAACATGTAGGCCACACTGGGCTCTACTGTACCATGTCAGCGCGGCAGGTATCACCACGCCTCTCTCGGCGCCCGAAGGTCGGGGATCTGGATGGGGGAGGTTGCAGGTATAGTAGCAACCACATAATGTGTTAAGATGTGAAATCAGCAACATACACGATTATAATATATTATGATCCGGCATAACACTTCCTTTTCAAAAATAATTAGGAACAATCTAGTAGCATGTGGTATAATGTAAAAAATATGATTTAGCAATAGACTATATCGAATTATAGAACAGAAAAGACTAAGGTCAAGGTTGCATGGCTGATCTTCTGACGTTCTTGTAGTTTGTCACCCTTCGAGGTGTACTCTGATCTTTCCATCTTCCGTTTTCTAACGAAATCCGCGAAGAGTGCACGGCCGGAGGATCGGTTTACGAATTCTTGAACTTGGGTTTCTGTTTTACCTGGACCAATGCCGCCATGGCCCGAAGTAGCGTGAAAGTACTGTGGGTTACCAGTCTGGGGCTTACAGGCGCTTTGAGATTAACATGTATGAGAAGCCCTGCTGGGCCGTGTCCAACAACTCCGGATTTTGCTTCAAGATTCTCGGATTTATTGGGATTTGGCCGTCCCCTCCCCTCAACGCAGAACTCTACTTCGTTTGGAAGGAGCCGAGAAGTACTGTTTACACCTTGTTCGCCTGCAGCCAAAGCGCCATCGACACAACGGCGGCACAGGTTTCCTCGATGTCCACGCAGGTTGACCCCATCATGCTGGGACTCGTGGATGTGCAGGACCTGTCGTTCTTGCAGGGCTGTTTACCCAGATCTACAGCTAAATCGAGGGCTGATGTTGTGACGCCTGCCAGCCTGGGGGTCGCGTGCGATTTGGCAAAAGCTACCTGAGTGGAATGGCACGTCATTTTAGATGACACTACCAAGCCTGAACGATCTTGAAAGAGTGAAACCAGTTATATATTCAGTTACCAGCCATGGTTTCGTTCTGTGCCAGAAATCGTTTAAAAAGAGTGCTGGTGCATGCCCAATCGATTCTCGCCTAAGCCAACTCCCTTCCGGCCATGCAAGGAGTATACAGTCATACTTTAACCTGGTCGGAAACTGTAGATATTTCTCGGGTGCGGACACCTTCTGAGACAACATTATAACCTGCAGTGGAAATCGAGGCGTTGAAGAGGCCGTCAACATATCGTGCCATGGCAGTCTTGCCCTTTGCTTTTGCAGGTGGTGCTGAGGAATCCTTTCGCTCGGATGTCGACATAGTGACAGCGTTGTTCACATCATGAAGGAATTCCCCTGCTCGGCCTGAACAGATCGGGTTTGCTAACGCGTGCTCCGCGGTTCTATAGGGGTACCAGCAGGCGATAGAAACAAGTGGAGCGTCCACCATGCAGAAAGGGTAGGAAAAAGAACTTACAGAAGATGGTGGAAGATCTGAGGAGACCCACTGGAACCAGAAGCAAGAAGCGGCATGGCACAAAGAGCAATGAATCGAATAAGCGGGACACCACGTCATAAAGATATGAGCGGGAGGCAAAGGGAGTGAGCAGGGGTCAGCACAGAGCAGAGGGAGATGACATCCAGTATCCTGCAGAGACGGTCAAGGCAACGCGGAAGTCCCAAGACCATCCAACACCCCCACGACTATTCCGAAAAGTCCCATGGGCCACGAGGAACCAAGCCAGCCACCTCGGGAGGTTGGTGAAGGCAGGCCTGTGAGAAGACCCTGGAACCCTGGCGATGCCTCTGTGTGTGTAAGCTTGGGGGGTTTATGGGGTAGGGATGGCTAGGCTTACTGTGGGTTCGGGCTTAGGCTTCGGCTTAGAGCATGGTCAGGGAACGGTGTTTTTGCCCTTGTGTTTGGCTCACCTGATAATCCTTAATCCTTCCTCGTTTGGCTCCTTTGGCGATTTTGTTTGGTTCTCAAGGGCCTGCCAGGGCCCCAGTGTTCGGCCTCTCGTGCTGGTCCTCTAGATCCCGCCAGCACATGCTGAGCCTCCAATCCTGGCAGGGCCAAGCTATGAGGCTCCTCGCCCCTCACCGCTTTGTGGTCGTCATCCTTCTACCCGACAGTCCAGTTTGCTTTCTTTCAAATTTCTCCTGGTGCATTCACTTAAAATCCTTCTGCCGTAGTTTCGTGCACCTGTTGGGATGCACAATCTGAGGCTGCTCGGGTCCTTCGTGTTGGCTCCTTTCCGCCGGTACATGGGAGAGCAACGTTCTCGGCTTGTCTTGGTCGATTTGGTCGTCCTTGTGTCGTCGCTTTGGTGATCCTTTTTCATGTGGCGGTCGTCATCGTCGTGGTCGTCCTGAGGCCTGGTATCCTGGGGATTTACACGGCGTGTGGTTGGGGATCTGCGCTGGCATTGTTTTGTGATGAAATTCCTGCCGAGGACCCAGGGATTTGACACACCGGCCTCGGCGTTTCCGGCCTTTGCCGAAGAGGCTTCCAAGTGGCAATGACAGGTGACAGGAACTTTAGGGTTTCTTGGTATTCTGTTGTTACTGGTCATCAAAAGCCCGCATTCCCAAAGACTGTTTGCTGATCATGCTGCTGATGTGGAAGCAGCAAAGGGGGGAGTGAAAGAAACATCCACTGATGGCCCTCGCAGGGTTTCGCAGGGGCATCACTGGTGGCAGCTCCACGGACGCCACATAAACGAAGAGCAGGGGCGGCATGAGCTCGGGAAGTGCTGACTCGTGCCTAAATGTCGAAGTACATAAACACAGGCATCATATGCGGTAATTGTGGAACGGTGAGGCATTGAGGGTTGCTTTCCAGACCCTTTCTCGGAAGGATGTGGCCTGATTTGGACATCGCAACTCTGAGTTTAACGAACATTTCTTGAGCAGGAATGCAGCTTCATGGACCACCTGCAAGCAGCCCTCCGGATTTGATCTCAACCCTGATTTCCAAGAAGAGAGTTCAACGAGCAAGTGTCTCAAAAACGATATCTGCCCGAGAACAGTCTGAAATATCAATTGCATCTGCTTGACTAATGGTGCTATTTCAGACCCTGCCTGGGTTGCAGTTCTATAAGATGTGCAGCATCATGGGCCCTGCATGAAGCTGGCGGATGGAAGCACTCACTACTCCCAGCATCTCCCAGCCAGTGCTCAGGCTACTATGGACTCTGAGGGGGACCCGGAGACAGAGGACCAGGCGCAATGTTACACGAAACCACCCTGACTCGTCTCGACCCACCGGACTGGTACCCAGAAGCACAGGGCAGAAATGATCATCCCTTGGATCCTCATTGTTTAACAGCGGCAAGAGTGTAAGGTCGAGATGTGATATAAAATGGCAGACTGCGAGTGTGCGAGGCACCCTTCAGCAAAACTCCTCACGGGAGAGCAGAGCAATTCGTGTTTCTGCGCGGATACACTACTTGCTAAGTGCTCATACATGCCGGTACTCCAGACTCCAGACCCATAATCACAACTCCCCGACGCATGCGTACAGTCACGCAAGCATACACGAGCTGATGGCAATCGCGGTGTTCTACATCGCATAGTAGGGGGAATGCAAGGTGTTCCGTGGCAAGGTTCCTGCATAGATTCACCATTTTGAAATATTTTGAGCCTCTCCGTAGGGCTTTTGAATCAGGGGAGCAAGCAACTTGACACAGCATCCAGAAGTCCTGTAAAATACAGAGACTTGCATTCATGTTGAGGGCCTCCCGTGGAAGCACGCGAAATCCTCACCAGCAAGCCGCCCCACGCTGCTCGGCGGGCTGCACGCGAACTGCTTCGGATGCAGTGCTACGGAGTACGGAAAGTCTACGGTTTACAATTCTACAAGAAGCGGCAGATCACGGATCATTGTTGCAGCGTTGCCGTGCGTGAACCAAACAGGTCAGCACACCACACCGTATAATTCGTGAACGTCATAGCTTTTCTGACGACACTGACGCGGTTCAGTTTTGGCACTTGGAATAGACGCTTACGATATTTGGGTAATGTGTATGGTGGCTGTGCTCGGTTTTCAGAGTGAGGTTGCCGGAGCTGAAGTCGCCTTCGAAAAGGACCGCAGTCACGGTGCCCTCACAGGACCAGCGCATTACAAGAGGGCACGCCGGGTCTGGTCACAGCTCAGCAGGGAGTTTGTTCAGGCTGGTTTTTTGCCTTGGAGGTTAATTGTTTAGAAACGCAAGGCCGACCGCTCCCCTGCACAGTCATTCAATGAGGTATATGGTAGAGTGGTAGGGCGGCATCACTGGAGAGAAGCACTTGTGCCGTCAATCTGAACAGTGCTGTGACAATACAGCCTCGAGAATTCGTTAACAGCATTGAACTACCAACGGAAGCCAACACATGAAATGCAAGTGCAAAGCCCGGCACACGTTCAGACGAAGGCTCGTTGATTGTTGCGATTCAGTTGCAATATGTGCCCTAAACTGAGCTTTTCGACGGACATTGAAGCTTCATGGCACAAGAAATCTTGCATGTCGCCCAGGACGATATCAAAGGTCCGTTGCTGTTCCTCAGCTTGCTTGAGCCTGGTCATTTTTCTCGTTGGGACGTTTAAGGCTTGCGGTGGTGCTGGTGCTGGTGCTGGCGCTGGCGCTGGTGCTGGTGCTGGTGCTGGTGATAGTGACCGTGGCGGCGGCGGTGGTGGTGGCGGTGGCGGTGCTGCTGCTGTTGCTGTTGCCGTTGCCGTTGCCATTGCCGTTGCGGTTGCTGCTGCTGCTGCTGCTGCTGCTGCTGGTGCTGCTGCTGCGGCCGCTGCTGCTGCTCCTGCTGCTGCTGCTGCTGCTGATGCTGCTGCTGCTGCTGCTGCTGCTGCTGCTGCTGCTGGTGTTGTTGTTGCTGTTGTTGTTGTTGTTGCTGCTGCTGTTGTTGTTGTTGTTGCTGTCGTCGTGGTTGTTGTTATGATTATTATTCTTGTTGTTGCTGGCAGCTGGTGCATCCGGGCGGAGCGATT